CCTAACTTTCTTCCAATTATCCCCTGCACTAGTCAGCATTGCGCGTCGTGGTAATCGGTGTTCAGGCATACGCAACACGTGGCCCAACCATCTCAGTCGATGAAGATACATAACCTCATCAACTGATTTACCATCATTCCCTAATACCCTGCGTCTAACCTCACTATTACTTACCCGGTGATCCCAGCAGATACCCGCAATATTTCTAAGGCACCTGTGGTCAAATACTAGTAACTTACGAATATCTTCCACTCTTAAAGGCCATGTTTCGCAGCCGTATAGAAGGACGGAACGAACTGCCGCGCAGTATACTCGTCCCTTAATTGATAGACGGATATCTCGCCTTCGCCATAGATGACGTAAGTTGGCAAAGGCCAAGCGAGCTTTTCGAATCCGTGCTGAGATTTCGTCAGACACCAACCCATTAGGGCTGATCAGACTTCCAAGATAAGTGAAGTTGTCAACGCGTTCGACTACTTCACCCCCTATCCTTAGTTCAGGTGTTGATGCAGACCAGTCCTGAAGCAACAACTTGCATTTAGAGGGAGAAAAGCGCATCCCAAACATTCTAGCATTGTTGCTCAGTGCTACCAAAAGCCCCCAAATGCCCTGGTACGGCCGAGAGTGGGGAGAGTCCGCTCTCCCTCTCGAAATGCTCTCACATGGCCACGCGTATACAGCCCCTGCCAGGGAAGTCCTACTCACTGCCTTCTTGTGGCGGGGGTGTTGTTTACGAAAATGAGAGGACGAAAAGCGAATGTCCGGCGCTTTAACCGCATCCCAAACCAATGGTGCACATGGGCTCCAGTATCCTGCGGGAACAAATGGCGTATGAACCAATCGTTGGTCACCGGCTACCATGGGACTGCATCTCCTTACGATGCTCCACTGTCTTGTGGATCAGACGTTCAGGTCAAAGGCTCGGGGTGTGGCCCCCTAAGAAAACCACCTGCTTCGGTTCGGGCACCCGAGCAGTATCATAGCCCTCACACAAATCAATTGAGATTCGTGTGGCGCATATGTATTTGGTGCCTCCTTGTACCTATACCTATGTGTTAAAATAATAAATAATAATACCAAAAGACTCTGCATTTCATCAGCGTCTTCACCAAACAGGACTATGTCATCTGCGTATTCTAAGTCAATAAGTGGACCTCCTGGTAGGAGATCAATACTCGAGAAGTCAGTCGATGAGAGCGTTATTTCCATTAGGATGTCTATGATAAAGTTAAACAAAAAAGGAGAAAGTGGACAGCCTTGACGGACGCCAATTGAGGTTGCAAAAGCAGATGACAGTTCGCCATAGGCTCTGACCCGACTAGTAGTGTTCGAGTAAAGAGCCTTCACAAGGTTTATGTACTTCTGAGGTACGCCTTTCAATGACAGACACTGCCACAGAACCTCTCGGTCAACAGAGTCAAACGCTGCTTTTAAGTCAAGGAATACCACCATTGTCGGACGCCGATAAGTATGCCTGTGTTCTAGAACCTGACGAATGGTGAATATGTGGTCGATGCAGCCACGACCAGGTCTGAAGCCAGCCTGATTTTCACGTGTTTGCAGTTCACGAGTCTTAGTTAGGCGTCCGAAAATTATCGAAGCTAGTATTTTAGATACTATATTAGTCAAACTAATCCCTCTGTGGTTGTCACAGGATGATTTTGACCCTTTCTTAAATATTGGGACGATAAGTGATTGTGACCAGTTAGATGGAATAACGTCTAACTCCCAGATTTTAGCTAAAATATTAGTCAACCTAATCGCTAAGACTAGACCACCATCCTTAAAGACCTCTGGGGCCAATCCATCTGGACCAGCTGCCCTTCCTCGTTTCAGATTAGCTATAGCCTTTTGAACTTCGGCTAGAGTTGGGGGACCTACTTCAATGTTCCATTCACACTGTCTGGGAATAGAGGGTAGTTGTAGAGTAGCTGAAGGCCAGCTAAACTGCTCCTTGAAGTGTTCCGCCCATCGTTCTAAGCGTCTGGACTGGGAGCAGATGAGAGTGTCGTCTTTTTCCGAAATGGTCTGACTTACACTTGATTTATTAGTTCCAGTTTCTTTTATTAGTCTGTAGAGTTGTCTTGTGTTACCTATAGCCGCCGCCTTTCCCATCTCTTTTGCTTTCGTTGCCCACCACTGCTCACGATCATTCCTTAGACTTTTGCTTAATCTAGATTTGATTTCTTTACGCTCTTCATCGTATTCAAAACCTGATGGGATGAGTTTGCGAGAATCTATCAGTGCAATAGACCTTGACGAAATCCATTGGTTTTTTGTAACCATTTGGTTTAAATCACTGGTAGATGTCACTGCTGTTTCCACAACTGCTTGTATAACTTTCCAAGCAACATCTGGGTCAGTCTCGTTTTCAGAACTACCTAAGTGTGACCTCAGTTGTTCCTGGAACCTACTTTTGGCTTTCCCATTACTCAATTCGGTTCTAATGAGTCTTTTTTGTGTGGCTCTTTTGCGTCCAGTGAGGCGCAAGCAGATGCGTGCTCGTACTAGGGCATGATCAGAGTCCAAGCAGGTACCCCAGAATGAGCGACAATCTTCTATTGACCCTCTCCAACGATGACTGATGGCAATATGGTCTATTTGAGTCCATCGTTGGTTTGGTGCAGGGGGTCGCCATGTTAGACGATGTCTCTCCTTATGCTTAAAATTTGTGTTTGCTAAAAATAAACGATTGTCTGAGCACAGTTGCAGCAGACGATCACCATTATCTGTTCGCTGTGCCGGAATACTAAAATACCCACCTAAATGTCTTTCTGTTTTGTTTAAGCTACCTACCTGGGCATTAAAGTCACCTCCTACGAGTACTATGTCTGAACGTTTAGCTTTCTGAAGAAGTTCAGACAGCTTTCTGTAAAATTCATCTTTCACTTCATCCGCACTGCAGTCAGTGGGAGCGTAGGCAGAAACGACGAAAAGGCAACGACGTGTGTCCCTATCCTTCCGAGTTCTTACGGAGCCGTTTAGCCGAACAGCGCATAGACGACTGTTAACGGGGATCCACTCTAATAGCGCTTGTTCCGCCCTCATGCTAAGTGCTATGCCTACACCTGCCAGTCCACGAGAACTAGCCATCGGGTCGCCAGATACACGGAGGGTGTATCTCGTTGGCTCTCCGTTTTGCCGAGGTGAGGTCAAGTGAATGACCACACTAGGATCCTGTATGCGTGTTTCGGAGACACAGCATACATCAATGGTACGAGATTCTAAGGTTTTAGCCAAGGAAGCCTGCTGACCGATTTGGCATAGTGTGCGTACGTTGAAGGCTCCAATGTATAGTTTGGAGCGAGGTTTCAGTAGACTTGGGACAGTGTTTTGAGCACTAGAATCGTTGGCTGTGGTGACACTTGAGGAGGAAGCTAAAAGAGGAAGTTTAGTGTATAAAGTCGATGTAGGAGGAATAATAGGAATTGAAGAGGGAGGTTGATTATGAATACAGTGGTCTTGAGTGCTGTTAGAGGTATGAGGGCGGTTATCACTTCCCGGTTGCCCACACCGTGGAAGGGTTCTTCTGGAGGTACCTGAAAAGGAAATTGGATTAAAGGTGGTCATAGTGACCTGAGAGCGTGACCGCAGTGCCCAAGGGACAGCTGCTTGAGGTCGGTCACACACGACCTTTTTATGAGTGATTTTTGTGTTAGCTCCGTACTTGTTGAGTCCTTACCGCCGGAGACGGATATCCGTGGGATAAGGCGAGGTGTGCATTTTTAGGGTCGACCTTTTCTAACCCCACCCCTCCCTGTGGGAAGGCAGCATCGCTGTCATGCTGGTTGTCTGAAGGAAACACCTTACTGCTGTCACACCTCTGTACAGTCAGCAGTACGACTTCGCCTTCGGACCTTGGTTTTGTTGCTTTTAGTCTTACCGCTCTTCAACCGACCTGTCTGGCATGGTAGGACTTTGAGGAACGGTTGTTCCAGCCAGTATAGCTCAGTTGCTTCATCACGATAGGCAAGCCCGACCACCACGTCAAGGTAGCAACAAGTGTAAGTCAGACCATTTCGGAAAAAGACGACACTCTCATCTGCTCCCAGTCCAGACGCTTAGAACGATGGGCGGAACACTTCAAGGAGCAGTTTAGCTGGCCTTCAGCTACTCTACAACTACCCTCTATTCCCAGACAGTGTGAATGGAACATTGAAGTAGGTCCCCCAACTCTAGCCGAAGTTCAAAAGGCTATAGCTAATCTGAAACGAGGAAGGGCAGCTGGTCCAGATGGATTGGCCCCAGAGGTCTTTAAGGATGGTGGTCTAGTCTTAGCGATTAGGTTGACTAATATTTTAGCTAAAATCTGGGAGTTAGACGTTATTCCATCTAACTGGTCACAATCACTTATCGTCCCAATATTTAAGAAAGGGTCAAAATAATCCTGTTAAAGAAACTGAATTAATGTTACTACCATTATTTGACCTCACGTATCTTCACTATAGCATCAATTCATTTTGTGGGAATTTATTTTATATTTCGTGTACCAAAATCTGTACTTTAAATAAATAAATTTGACGAGTAATTTTTCCTAGGTTTGCTGACAAAAGACATGTCAACTTGAACTTTCATTCTACTGTGTCGAATCTTATATCATTCTTAACTCCTATCTAAACCTACATGTGGCTTAAAAACCTTATATACGTTGATATACTGGTCAACATCCTTTTGCTGTGCAAGGGATGATAATTATACTTAGTCTTTTAAATCAGGATAATATAGTGTGACCTAAATGCGTGGTATACGACCTTCAAGTTAAATGACTGAACCAGTGAATCACAATTTCAAATAGAACGGGATTACAAAATTTCTTCATCAGCTTCGCTATTTAAATGAAGTAATTATTATTCTTCAGGTTCCCTACACTGTATCGTACATCGTTTATCATAACCTTATTAGAAGTAGCCTTCACCGGTTTCGTTTATGTAATAGACAGTCGTAAAAACTATGTATCTCTGTAACCGATATATTTTGTCTTAATTTCTTTTCAAATCTAGGTTAAACCTCTGATCTGGGTAGAAGCAATAATTGAGAAACATGCACATAGCCGTATGGAGTATATGGTGAAGGTGAATTCATGCATACTTTACTATTTTGATGTATATTCTATATTTGTTTCTTCAAATGTTGGGGTCCAGGTACATCCAGCCGATGAGTCCCCAAGTAGGACGAGATGCTCGTCCTGGATTACGTTGCTGGTCACCATCCAGTTCTAATTAAAATTTTATGTTTAATATTAACAGTGATTAGTTTACAAGATAGTGGTTTGAAGTTCTAGTTGACATATACGAGTTATCAGGACTCAGTAGGAAGTATAGTATTCATAATACTAAGAAATCGTCAGATTGTAGTATAAGTTTATGAAAGTGGTAAGATATGTATGGTCAATAGTGTTAAACTTGTACTTTCGACTAACCCCAGTTAGGTTGTTCATAAGAGCAAATTCTAAATTAACACCTTATTTTTTAAGTAACAAACTGTTGTTTATATCACAAAACAATACTCAAACAAGTTACAAAACCTTAATCTAAGCATTCTGCCATATTAAATGGAAAATGTTTTGACGGATATAGATATCCTGCCTCTTTTAAAAAAGAATGTGATCAATATGACGTTGAATCAGAGATACATAATATATTGAGAAAACATATTATGCATTAGTTTACGATGCAGTGTGAAGTTAGCTACAGAAACTTTAGTCAACTATTTCTCTTAATATTTTCAAAACAAGGTTGCCAGCTGCAAATTTACCATTTACATAGTCTTATTTCAGATTGGAAAAATAGTTTCTCATATATTCAAATCTTTTTTCTATAGGATTATTTACCTTGAAAGTACGATATGGACTTTTACTAATTACATAAAAAAATTTAACTCAATTTTATGCAACTCGTCGAATACAGACTTATGTACTCAAACCAGGGGTACAATCTTTATGAGGGCTTGTACTACTAACCGGTTGCTCAGAGTGAAGTAGGTAAGACAGGGTTCGAACCTGGGACTTAATAACTAAAGGTTGTGTGAATTAATAACTAAACCATCGTTCCATCCGTATCTAAAGTAGTCGCCATTAGATTGTGATCGTTCCATTGTGTGCTCAGAAAAAGTCCTATTCAATTCCTTACAATCCACTAATCATATAATATTCTCTGTGTAACTTAATTGTTTAAATGCCTACTTATTTTTCTTATAAATAATAGTTAAATGTACCCGTTATATTTATTCTCCTCTATATCTATACATCATCTATCACTCCCTCTTAATTTTGTTCGTCATTCACATAATTTCTTGACTCAACCACTTTACTCAGTTCCTGTTTTAATATATCATTGTAATTTTATACTCACTTCAACTTCACATCTGGGAATAACTATCCTTTTCATTTTCTTATTCAATATTCTTTTGTTTACAACTATTGTCACCTCATAACAATATAGTCATTATATCCTTCTTCAGTAATATTGATTTGTTACTATCTTTTATATAATAATATCATTATGTATTAAGATTTCTTACTGTAAGGTTGTAGAATTGATATAACTTTGGTAAGAATACTTATTTGAAATATCGATTTTCATAGTAATTGAAAATAATTGTTGAGAAATAAAGTTAAATAATAATAATAATAGCACAATTATAGGTTTTTGTTAAATCTATCGAAGCCGTCTTCAAAAGCATCAAATCGGGTATAATCTTAAACTTTTTAAAATTTCTTAAAAATCTGTGATGAAGGTTAAAAAACATTGAGTATGTGTGTTTGTTATATAGTAGGTTTTTTCTGATTTGATGAGATAAAGTTTTTGATTGTTGAAATCAATAAATACAATGTGAAATAGTGTTTGGGAGCAGTCGACAGAAAAAACCCTGAACGCGAGTTTCGCGTTATTTGACACTCGTCAGTAAGGTGTACCTGTAACCTTGAGGAAACTGATGCTCCCTGGCAGATATGATCCCATCTGACTCAGCTTCACGGTCAGAGACGTTACTGTTATGATGGGTGGTGTCCTAAATCTGATATTGATACACGATGTGCTACGTGCTAACCCCCCACCTAACTACTTGAACGGGAAGACAAGAGTAGATGAGAGTCTATTGGGCTACTTAATAAAATGCATAAGTACTCATTTATATACATGCAACTCTACCCCTTAGCAAATCAATCCATTTCTAGGCACTTATCCTTCAGGTCGCTTCTATTTACCAAGGATTGACCTCATTAGCCTACTTCTAATTTGCTTACCATATCAGTTACCACTGATTTATCCGGTTCGCGACTGACCTGTACGACAGATGTATTCACAATTGATTGATCATTGGGTAGTGACCAATGTCATGTGTGTCAGGTCCTTCGTAGTGCAGATCTCAGTCATACAACAGGTCAGTCGCGGCCCAGATAAACCAGTTGTAACGTCTCTGACTGTGAAGCTTTTAAGATGTTAATAAGCTTCTCAGGCACACACTTCCACGATAGACAGTTCTGTCTAGCAAATCGAAGGCAGCCCTAATGTTATAAAACATTATGACTGTTGGCCTGTATTAAGTATGGTGGTGTCCTAACATTTGATGAAGGGTGAAGATATGATCAACACATCATTGATCAGAACCGAAACCAGCTTGCTCCTCGCGAGTCAATCTTTCTCGGGTTTTGGACAATCTACGGAGTATGATAACTCCGCCTGGAGTCCCTTTCGAGGGGCTACTGCCGGTTACAAGCCCGAGTAAAGGAGGAGGGTTGGGCATAGGGTTAGCGTCCCCATCCCGTAGAAAACTAACTCGCTAAAAAAACGCTAACCAGAAAAAATAACTCAAACCATTTAAACTCTGTCCTGCGAGTTAGAAGGTTTTGATTTAGAAGAAATATGACGTCTCATGATGAAAGCCGAGTTTCTTCGGAAGTCACGAGGCCGATGCCCCTTCTGACAATCAGGGCAACCATTTACTTAGGTACATGGAATGCTCGCACAATGTGGGAGAGTTTTCCAAATTGCTGCAGAGGTGCTTGGGACCAGTGAAACACATTGGACGCAAGTTGGACAACAACGACTAGCTTCAGGAGAGCTGCTGTTATACTCCGGACATGAAGAAGAAAATGCTTCACATACACAAGGAGTTGCATTGATGCTGTCCAAACAAGCGCAAAATGCACTTATAGGATGGGAATCTCATGGACCAAGGATCATCAAAGCCTCCTTCAAAACAAAAAAAGGGCATTGCAATGAACGTCATCCAATGCTACGCGCCTACCAACGACTACAATGAAGACGCTAAAGATCAATTCTACGATAGGCTGCAGTCAATCGTCGAGAAGTGCCCAACAAAGGACCTGGCCATTCTGATGGAAGACCTAAATGCCAAGGTTGAAATGGACAACACCGGATATGAAGAGATCATGGGACGACATGGACTGGGAGAAAGGAACAAAAATGGTAAGAGATTTGCAAACCTATGTGCCTTCAATAAACTGGTCATAGGCGGCACCATATTCCCACATAAACACGTACACAAAATCACACGGACTTCACCGGATCACAGCACACAGAACCAAATCGACCATATCTGCATCAACAAAAAGTTCAGGAGGACGATGGAGGAAGTGAGAACAAAGAGAGGAGCTGATATAGCATCAGATCATCACTTGCTGGTCGCCAAGATAAAATTGAAACTCAAGAAGCACTGGACAACGGGGAGGACAATATCACAAAAGTTTAATACGGCTCTTCTTCGGGATAATGACAAACTCAACAAATTCAAGATAACCCTCATCAATAAGTTCCAAGCCTTTCATGATCTACTCAAAGGAGAAGGAACTACTATGGAGAGCAACTGGAAAGAGATAAAAGAGGCAATCACTTCAACATGTCATGAGGTTCTGGGCCAAAAGAAGCACCATCACAAGCATTGGATCACTGTTGATACACTGGATAAGATTCAAGAAAGGAGGAACAAGAAAGCAGCAATCAATACCAGTCGAACAAGAGCAGAAAAAGCCAAGGCACAGGCTGAATACACAGAAGTAAACAAGCAAGTAAAGAGGAGCATCAGAACCGACAAATGTAAATATGTGGAAGATTTGGCATCGACGGCGGAAAAGGCTGCCAGAGAAGGAAACATGAGACAACTGTATGACACAACAAAGAAACTCTCTGGAAATCACCGCAAACCAGGACGACCAGTGAAAAGCAAGGAAGGCAAGATAATCACCAACATTGAAGAACAACAGAACAGGTGGGTAGAACACTTCAAAGAACTCTTGAATCGACCAGCCCCACTGAACCCACCCAACATCGAAGCAGCACTCACGGACCACCCAATTGATGTTGGCGCACCAACAATTGAAGAAATCAGCATGGCTATCAGACAAATCAAGAGTGGCAAAGCAGCAGGACTAGACAGCATTCCAGCAGAGGCACTGAAAGCAGACGTAGCGGCAACTGCAAGGATACTCCAAACTCTCTTCAGAAAGATCTGGGATGAGGAACAGGTACCAAAAGACTGGAAAGAAGGACTTCTGGTCAAAATACCAAAGAAAGGCGATCTCAGCAACTGTGACAACTACAGGGGAATCACTCTTCTCTCAATACCAGGAAAAGTCTTCAACAGGGTATTGTTAAACAGGATGAAGGACTCCATAGACACCCAACTTCGAGACCAACAGGCAGGATTCCGTAAAGATAGATCGTGTACAGATCAAATAGCAACTCTACGGATCATTGTAGAACAATCAATTGAATGAGATTCATCGCTCTACATCAACTTCATTGACTACGAAAAAGCATTTGACAGCGTGGACAGAACAACCCTATGGAAGCTTCTTCGACATTACGGCGTGCCTTAGAAGATAGTCAATATCATACGGAATTCCTATGATGGATTAAACTGCGAAATCGTGCATGGAGGACAGTTGACAAACTCGTTCAAAGTAAAGACCGGTGTCAGGCAAGGTTGCTTACTCTCACCCTTTCTCTTTCTCCTGGTGATCGACTGGATCATGAAGACGTCAACATCTGAAGGGAAGCACGGGATACAGTGGACAGCTAGGATGCGATTGGATGATCTAGACTTCGCAGGTGATCTGGCTCTTCTATCGCATACGCAACAACAAATGCAGGAAAAGACGACCAGTGTAGCAGCAGCCTCAGCAGCAATAGGTCTCAATATACACAAAGGGAAAAGTAAGATTCTCCGACATAACACAGCATGCACCAATCCAATCACAATTGACGGAGAAGCTTTGGAAGACGTAAATAACTTTGCATATTTGGGCAGCATCATCGATGAACATGGTGGATCTGATGCAGATGTGAAGGCATGGATTGGCAAAGCAAGAGCAGCATATTTACAACTGAAGAACATCTGGAACTCAAAACACTTGGCAACCAACACCAAAGTCAGAATTTTCAATACAAATGTCAAAATAGTTCTGCTGTATGGGGCGGAAACCTGGAAAACCACGAAAGCCATCATCCAGAAGATACAGGTGTTTATTAACAGTTGTCTACGCAAAATACTTCGAATCCGTTGGCCAGACACTATTAGCAACAACCTACTGTGGGAGAGAACAAATCAGATCCTAGTGGAGGAAGAAATCAGGAAGAAGCGCTGGAAGTGGATAGGATACACATTGAGGAAAGCACTGAACTGCGTCACAAGACAAGCCCTCACATGGAATCCTGAAGGCCGAAGGAGGAAAGGAAGACCAAAGAACACATCACGCCGAGAAATGGAGATAGACATGAGAAAAATGAACAAGAATTGGATGGAACTAGAAAAGAAGGCCCAGGACAGAAAGGGGTTGGAGAATGCTGGTCGACGGCCTATGCTCCATTGGGAGTAACAGGTGTAAGTAAGTAACGGAGTATGATGGAAGCCATTAGTTCTGACGCGATCGGAAGTAGACTTATCCCTCGACAGTTGTTGCGAAAACAACGTGAATCCTTTTTAAAGATAGGAACAACTATCGACTCATTCCATGATGTTGGAACACTCTAATTGCCATATCTTTGTAAATAACTCGGTCAGTTCCATAACCAGAAAGTCGCCACCATCTTTAAAAATGTTAGGAGGTAAGTCATTTGGGTCTGATAATTTGTGGCGCTTCAGGTGTTGAAGCTCCTTGCGGACTTCCACCTCGTTAAAGGGATCAATCGTCACTGGCGATGGAGGGCAGAACAGTCTGACTAATGTTTCTGGGCCAACAGACCAGTAGAACTGCTCCTCAAAAAAACTATTCGCATCGTTCAAGACTCCGGTAGATGTTATTGATTAGCATCCCATCATCACAGATTGATTCATCAACCCAGCGATCAATCAATTTAGCGAATGGAATATTAGTTGGTAGATGAAAGCAATGATATAATGTGGCCAAATTTTAGCTTCCTTACGAGATTGTATTATTGACTTAAGCCCCTAAATGACTTGAAATGAAAAAAAAGATTACTAGTCAGCTGATTCTTATATGAACAAAAATAAGCAATAAAATGCTATAGGCGGTTGGAGGAATTCGATTTGTAGGTCACTCATTCTCAATTTGATTGAGGCCTGGTTGTTAGGTCGATTTTTGGGCATTGAGTCAATGTGTTAGCGGAATAGTCTTGGTTAATACACACTTAATCTAAGATCATGCCGAAGCACATTGATAAGTTGAAAATGGATCAGTCAGCACCAGTGGATGGATTTAAAAGACACTAGACCTCTGTGTACATTTTGTATAAACGCTAACGTTTTTAAAATATATTTTACTCTTCGGACTAGTTATTCTCGTTCTTTTCCAATTTATGTTCTGGTTTGAGACCAGTCGAGTAAAGTATTGTACTCTAAAAATGCTTTGCAATGGTAACACAACGACACGCTATCCGAATAACATAATCCTTTTGAAGTCAAATAAGTCGACCAACATTTCTGTATTAGTCGTCATTTAAGGAAGGCTTTCGTCCAATCAAGTAGCTAACTCTGATTTTCTGCGATACTTATCTGTGTTGCATGAGCTTACCTTAACTGTCTGCTGGAAAAATGTTTTTGCAAATTGTAATTCTCATTCCCACAAAATATTGGGTAAATGTTTTCATATGTTTAGAGTAAATATCAACCCAGCTTGTTGACTATTTATAGAAAAAGTATTGACCACTCTAAATGAAGCCTCCCAGTTATTTCAGTGGATATACTTATCTGACTTGTTGGTACTGAAAATCCTGAATCCAAAGACGTATAGTGAACACGCGAAAACCACTGATATAGATTTATTAAACCACAAAAATAAGTTAAAATAATTTATCAATGCACCATTTTTTATATGATTTCTTTACAACCAGTTTTGTATAATTAAATTTTGTAAACACATTTACAATACCATACAGTTAGTCATTTCTTCTTAAAGTATGTTTACTTGTCACAAATCTTTGGAGGAAATCACTTCATATGTCATTTGCACTTCTATCGATTAAGTCATTGCTCGCCCTATCAATATATATATATATATATATATATATATATATATATATATATATATATATATATATATATAATTTCATCTTAAGAATTGTTTACATAGTCTGAATCGTCAGAATGCTTTTAAAAAGTTCAAGCTTTTTTGGAGTGGTGGCTTATTGGTTACAGCATTTGATTTTCAGTCGCTAGTTCTCAGATTTGAGTTCCATGCCACTTCGGTTTACGCAACTGGATACTGCCATTAGCCCTCAAACATGAGACGTACCTCAATGCATCATAGTTAAATGTTATTAAAACTATAAATTCCAGTGATGAATCGAATTGTCTAAAGATCTGGCTTTCAATATCCGCTTTGATGTTTAGTCTCCGTTATTCTAATTCCTTTTGGGAACTTACTGGTTTTTACATTTCTCTGTTTAAGAATATACAACAAAGATGTCTTTTAAAATATTAGTTTAAAAATATATTTTCATTTTTGTCATCGATTTATTGTATACAAAAAAGATTAAATTGCATGGGATTTTGCTATGAAATGCTCCACTAGCAGTATATATGACCAAAAGTAATCTGACACTGTTTATAATGTAACTTTGGAACCAGGTACAACTCGGTCTTCTAGACTTTGAGTTACAGTTTTTCGGTTGCCCAAAACCCCAAAATAAGTGAATTGAGATTGGTAGTTAAAATCGAACTTTCAACCATCAAATCACTACAACTCAACTTTAATGCATACTGTTTTGATAAGATGTTGCTACTACCAGGCTTCCCAAGCCGGAGTTGAAACCTGTAACCTTTTGTATTGTGGTTAAGAACCAAGTGCTCTAACCACTACTCTGAATCACTAGTACTACTTCGTTTGAACAATTGCTAATTCTCTTTTTGTTTTGTTTTCCTACTATTTTTTATAACTTAAAAGGCTAAAGCACAATTCAAACGTCGAAGTACAGCAAATCAAGTTGAAATTCATGTTCCAGTTCCGTCGGATGTTGACTCACCAAGATTTAAAACAACAATGGGTAATGCAAAGTATGTTCCAGAGACAAATGTTGTTGTATGGACAATACGCAGCTTTCCCGGTGGTAAAGAATACATATTAAGAGCCAGTTTTGGTCTGCCTTCTGTGGAAGGAGGTCAAGATGTGGAGTCTAGACCGCCAATAACTGTGAAATTCGAAATACCATATTTCACTGTGTCTGGTTTACAGGTTTGTGATTTTAATTCAATGGACTCACTGTAATCATCTCTGTTTAAACTCTGCTGGTTGTTTGCGCTTGTATGTAGTTCTTGACAGGTAACTGGTCTATTAAAATATTTATTGTTTCATGGAATAACTACTCATTAGTAATAGGATGTTTAAAATTTCAATAACTACTTATGAACAAACTACTGAAATAATATTGCGAGTTAACTGAATTTAGAAACTTAAGTAGTGCTCTCACCTCTAAGCATCCAGTCCTGAGGAGTTCTAAACTAAAACGAAACAATTGTTCAATGCTTCCTGACTATTAATGACTGATTAAGTGGAGTCCGTTCATGTTTTAAACTATTTTTAAGTTTGCAGGCTGTATTTACTCCATATCGGTCTCAGCTGCCATACCTCTGAAAGTCAGAGAGCTATCAGGTAGCTATTTTATCTTAGTGTGGGGTGAGATCACTAATGCTTCCACACAATCTATCCAAACGTCGAACCCAGGACCTTCATGTCTCGTGGTGAACACTTAAGCACTAGAACTGTTGGTTCGATATCCAATGGCACAATTTAAACTTTAATCGATTGATGACTTCTGAACAGTTTCATGCTAGTAGGAAACAGATACCCAGTACTCTCTAGTTTCCAATGGTACCCTATCTGAAATCAACTTTTGATCAATTCTAGAGTTATTTAAAATGATGGATTTCGTCATACGTGGTTAGTGTTTGATTTTTTCCATAAGATTGTTATCTATTACGGGATTGGACTCTGAAGAGGTGACTTACATTAAGTCACGAAACGTCATTGCGATATAGCAACAAATATATTTATATTTATTATTATTATTATTTAGGTTCATCACTTGAAAATTATTGAAAAATCTGGTTATCACGCACTCCCATGGGTACGTTATATTACACAAAATGGTGATTACCAATTACGTACTTTATAAATCGTGAACACAACAATCGACATGAAGATACAATGTTATTTTGTATCATTTCTAATTCTTTTTTTCTGTTTCTCTTAAATCTCTGTCTCAGACTACTACTTCCGGTTATTTGAGTAGGAAAATTATCGTTTTATCAATTTTTCTTTCTGTTTTAATATGTGAGATCTACTTTCACCTCATTTTAACTTTTTACTTCATTCGTTCCATTTTCAACAAGTTTATTTTGAAGAGTGACGACGACAACAACAAACAATACATCTGTCCATCTTGTATAATTTTACAAATGATCTTACTATTTTGAAATTCAATCAGTGAAACCATAATTTACCACATGGCTGTGAATAATCTCTTATGTACTACTACTCTAAGACTACAACTATCCCCGCATTTTTTATGAAACATGTTTATATACATGATAATATTGTTATTACATTCTTATCAGTTTCTATATTCGGGTTATGATTTAAACGGGGAAAATTTGTCACAGCTTTTAATATATGCACCAATCCGTTTTTTGTTCTAGTTATTTATCTGGTTTCTTTTTGAGAATGGGGGGCGGTGAAAGGTGTTTAACGTGAGGTTGGTATATGTCGCTTTATTATCAGTGTATATTATGAACTTCCTTTTTTGAATACTTATACTATTTAATATATGTTTTGGTTATTTTAAATCATTACATTGGTTGCTGCAGACCTATCACTCATCATGTGTGCATGATTAGCAGAGATGTTTCCACTGAGCTACGCCGACCATGACCGAGATGTACCTACAATCGATTAGTCATTGAATGGTAGCCGGAGCCACGTATGTCAAGTTCTAATAGTGTTGGTCGGACTCTATTGGTCATGGGCATAGGGTACTAGATAAAGAGGGCAAAGAGATTGATGTGACTGTGAACCTTTGTGGACATGTGTTGTTTCTAACTCAAACCACCTGGCATAGGGAGGGGGTAAGTGAGGAGGAAGCTATGAACAATCGGACCAAAACATTCCAGTGTCTATCGGACTGATCCATGTCAGGTGCAGACTACTTGTTTGGGATCAATTTGGCTATCGTGACCAATGGGTAGTGATGAGTCACGATGCTCAAAATTTGTCACATATCAAAAGAATATAACATTTTAAGAATGAGAATTCATCGTTTGAGAAGAATGTTCATAAACTGTTATGATTGAATATTTGTCACATGTTAACAATAATGTGCCCTGGTATGACCGAGAGTGGGGTGGGTTCGCCCTCCCTCTCGAAATACTCTCACACGGCCACGCGTATATAGCCTCTGCCAGGGAAGTCCTACTCACTGCCTTCTCGTGGCGGGGGTGTTTACGAAAATGAGAGGACGAAAAGCGAATTTCCGGCGCTTTAACCGGATCCCAATTCTATGGTGCACATGGGCTCCAGTATCCTGAAGGAACAAGTGGGATATGAACCAATCGTTGGTCACCGGCTTCCATGGGACCGCATCTCCTCACGATGCTCCACTGCCTTGTGGGTTAGACCTTTAGGTCGAAGGCTCGGGGTGTGGCCGGCTAAGAAAACCACCTGCTTCGGTATGGGCACCCGGGCAGTATGTCAGCCTACACACAATAGTGTGGCGCATATATATTTGGCGCCTCCTTGTACCAATATTTATGTGTTTAAATAATAATAATAACAATAATGTGACGCTTTTAATCCTAACAAATAGCACAATCAGAGATGATAGCATTTTCGGGCACAGAGTCATTACCTGAATATATAAATGAATAGCCATCAACCATGTAAGCACGAAGATGTTTTTTTGGTAGGAAGAAGTAAACATGCTGAGAAAAGTAGCATATCTACAACGTGCTTTGCGATGTTTAGGGTCCAGTGTGTTTTTAATAAGAGAACCGAAAAGTCATCCTTATCAATTAATAATTTAATACAGGCTGATCCGAGCCAGGTACACTACAGGCCACTCGTAATCATGGCGGGACGATAACTTATAGATGAACCGATCCGATTGAGAATCTTGACGCGGCGTTCGTTTATCCATATAGCTAACTAGCATTTTGACATTACAGTCAGTTCGTGATGAACATATCAATCCTAGTTCCTAACCCTAGCTCCTAATCCCTCACACTCATTGGTAACCCTTTCTTGGAGCTAATTATTTATTTATTTATTTATTTGAACACATAAATATTGGTACAGGGGGGCACCAAATATATATGCGCCACACAAAACAATGATAATTTGAAGAGGAGAAAAGAGAAAAAAAAGTAATGAACGTGGGGAATTATAAAAAAAAGGGAGAGAGAGAGAACAATGGTGGGGGAAACGGAAAGGTAAAATCAGAAGAAATCTTTCAGTTAAGGAAGATACAACCACTTATGAAGAAAGTAAAAGAAGGTTAAAGCAGCATCGCCACTGGCTTCTATTCTGAGCCATATCTGATAACGTCTCTAGTCACTGCGTTACACCGTCTCTCGGACCCCAACCAGGGAGTCGTGAAGGACCAACAGAAGCTAGCCCTTTGCAGCTTTCTTTCATACCACGACACCATGTCATATACTGACCACCTCTCCGCTTTTTCCAACCAGTTCCAGAGTCGGCAAATAATGCACGACGAGGAATTCTCTGGTACGACATTCGTAGAATATGTCCAAGCCACCGAAGTCGGTGTTTCAAGATGGTGACACCAATTTCATTATCGTCTCTGTGACCGAACACTCGATGCCGAACCTCTGCATTACTGACATGGTGTTGCCACTGGATGCCAGCAATCCTTCGGAGACAACGATGATCGAACACAGAGAGTCGTCTAACATCCTCAACTCGGAGAGGCCAGGTTTCACAAGCATAGAGCAAAACTGCTCTCACCGTCGCGTTGTAGACCCGACCTTTTACAGACAGACTGACATCACGAAGGCGCCAAAGATGGCCCAGATTGGCATAAGCCGCTCTGGCTTTCACTATACGTGCATTGATCTCATCACTCACACCACCACCAGCACTTATGCAGCTACCTAGATACACGAACTTCTCGACTACTTCAATCTGCTCACCATCCAGAGTGAGTACAGGATTAGAATCCTGCCAGTCTTGTAGAAGAACTTTGCACTTCGAAGGTGCAAGGCACATACCATACCTACGGATATTGATTGCCAACTGATTAAGTGCGGATTGCATGGCTTGTACATTCTCGCACAGTAAGACAATATCATCCGCATACTCAAGGTCGAGAAGTCTTTCTCCAGGCAACAGATCCACACCACCATTACTTACATCCGTCAGAGCTGTTTCCAGAATGTCATCGATGGCAAAGTTGAAGTGGAATGGTGAGATTGGGCAACCCTGCCTAACTCCACTGCTTGAATGGAATAGTGGAGAAAGGTGGTTGTATGCCCTCACTCTGCCTGAGGTGTTTGTGTATAGGGCTTTTAGGATGTTAATAAACTTCTCAGACACACCCTTCTTTAATAGACAATCCCAGAGAACAATTCTGTCCAACGAATCGAAGGCAGCCCTGATATCAAGAAACAGTACGATTGTTGGCCTTTGATAAGTATGGCGGTGTTCTAACACTTGGCGGAGGGTGAAGACATGATCAATACATCCTCGACCGGAACAAAACCCAGCCTGCTTCTCGCGAGTCAATCCTTCTCGGGTTTTGAACAACCTACGAAGCATAACGGAAGCCAATGGCTTGGACGCAATCGGAAGTAGACTTATCCCCCGATAGTTGTCGTAGAAATGACGTGAACCCTTTTTAGAGATAGAGACAACTATCGACTCATTCCATGACGTTGGTACACTCTCTAGTTCCCAGACCTTTGTAAACAACGTCGTCAGTCCCTTAGTCAGAAAGTCACCACCATCTTTAAAAAGAGCCGGAGGTAAGTCGTCTGGGCCCGGTGATTTGTAACGTTTCAAGAGTTGGAGTTCCTTGTGGACTTCCGCCTCGTTTGGTGGATCAGTCGTCACCGGCCATGGAGGACAGGACAGTCTGACCGATGTTGCCGGAGCAGCAGGCCAGTTGAACCGCCCTTCGAAAAATTCTGCCCATCGTCCAAGACGTCGATGGATGTTAGTGATTGGCGTTCCGTCATCCTCACAGATTGTTTCGCTCACACCAGACTTCTTGCTGCCAGTGGCTCGGATGAGTTGGAAGAGCTTCCGGTAAGTACCAGATGCAGCTGCTGGTTCCAACTCACTGGCACGCTCCGACCACCAGGCTTCTCGGTCCTTACGCAAGCTTTGCCCGATTTCATTACGTAACATCCTTCGTCTGTGGTCAAACTCACGGTCACCCGGAGTAGACCGACGGGCTTCAATGAGTTGCAAGGAGCCAGAAGAAACCCAGTGCTTATAAGCGGGACGTTTCGCGAACCCACAACTGACTTTACCCGCCATTTGCATGGCGTCATGCAATTGCAACCAATGCTCATCTATACTTTTCGGTGGAATGGTAGCTAGCCTAGAAGCTAGCTCGGTTCGGCACATACTAGCAACAGAAGTTGCAGCCAGCTTGCTAACATCAATCTTGTGGTGGCGGTCACTTCGTTGTCCACTGAAAAGTAAGGTAAGATTGGCGCAGACCAGAGCATGATCAGATTCCAGATAGATACTCCAAAGGGAGCGGCAGTCTTGTACACAACCGCGCCAGCGGTAGCTGATCGCGATGTGATCAATCTGAGTCCAGGCTTGAGATGCAGAAGGGGGACGCCAGGTGGCACATCGGCGATGACTGTGCCGAAAGTTAGTGCTAGCCAGAAACAGGTTGTGGTCTGTGCATAGTTGCAGTAGACGTTCCCCGTTATCTGTCCTGCGACCAACGAGTCCCCACCGGCCACCTAAACGACTCTCTTCTGTGCCTAGACGCCCGACCTGAGCATTCAAGTCTCCGACTAGTACCACAATATCTGTCGAACGCACTTTCTGGAGAAGAACAGTTAACTGGTGGCAGAATTCATCCTTGATTGCATCTGGGCTGCAATCTGTCGGGGCATAGGCGGAGACGACGAAAAGACATCGTTTCTCACACCGATTTCTTCTCACTTTGATGGAACTTTCTAATCTAACAGCACATAACCGACTGTTAATGGAGATCCAGTCGACTAGTGCTGCCTCAGCTCTTGCGCTTAGTGCGACACCAACGCCAGCAAGACCAGACGAAGATGCCACAGGGTCCTCGGATAAACGCACATAAAACAAGCTTTTTGAAGCGACAGATGGAGAGCGAACTTGTAGTACTTCACCAGAGTCTTGAATACGGGTCTCGGATAGACAACACACATCAATATTAAGACTTTCCAAAGACATAGCCAGCCCTATCTGTTGTCCGACCTGCATAAGTGTGCGAACGTTGAAGGCAGCCAGTTTGAATGGTGCACGTGGTTTCAGAAAAACTGCTTCAGTACTCGTATTCGGTGGCAACATACAATTTTCAACCAGGCAGTGACTCGCGAACGTTTAGATAAAGCTGAATTTTTACCATAGGCGAGCTGCTGTCTGAGTCGAAACGGATACCAAAAGTAGAAATAGGAGATAGTGAATAAATGACGTCGTAAATAATAATAATAATAATTATAATAATAATAATAATACCAGTCATTTCAATGTTAGTCGGAGAGAAACGAATATTTTCCATAAGCAGATAGTTCATCATGGTTTTAGTGTGTGGGCTGAGATACTGCCCGGGTGCCCAGACCGAAGCAGGTGGTTTCCTTAGGGGGCCACACCCCGAGCCTTTGACCTAAAGGTCTAGTCCACAAGGCAGTGGAGCATCGTGAGGAGATGCGGTCCCATGGAAGCCGGTGACCAAGAAATTGGTTCATACGCCATTTGTTCCTTCAGGATACTGGAGCCCATGTGCACCATAGAATTGGGATCCGGTTAAAGCGCCGGAAATTCGCTTTTCGTCCTCTCATTTTCGTAAACACCCCCGCCACGAGAAGGCAGTGAGTAGGACTTCCCTGGCAGAGGCTATATACGCGTGGCCGTGTGAGAGTATTTCGAGAGGGAGGGCGAACCCACCCCACTCTCGGCCATACCAGGGCATTTGGGTGCCTTGGAGCTAATAAATGCATTGAGTTACTCAAGGTAACTTCCGAGTTCGTAAATTATAGTCTTGGCGATCTATCGTCACACATAAGCCCATTTCTATTCTAATATTCATTGGTAGTTAAAAGGCTTTTAATCAATAAATTACCGAATATATATTTATATAATCTCTTTTTATTTATATCGAAATAAGATAAAATCTAGAATAATTAAAATAAAGATTACTTCAAATGTTTGTCTATAAAGTGGTTAGAAAATAACATTAATCTGGTTAGTGACTTTAGTTTAATCTTGTGTTACCAAAAAGAATGAGTTTTTTTTCTTACTTCAAACTACTTAAATGACCTTAAAACTAAATTTTACTTCTAACACGACTGTTTTTACTTTCAGTGAGTAGTTAATTAACGTATAATCAATGATTTCAATGTAAAGTATTGTATATGTATATATCACTATAAAGTCGATCTGACTGACACTAAGTATATCCTGGAAAAAAGTAAAATATATTGATTATTTCTAAAACCTTTATTACATGCAATCGATCTTAACGATATCAGTAGTAATGATCAGCTGAATAAAAATGTGATGATAACTATTCATTAGAATTACCTATTCCAACAAATTCGATTGTTTAAATGTGGTTTCTTTTTTTTTTTTTTTTTGGAATATCGAACAATGAAAACCAGTTTTCATGTTTAATTTATGTTAATAACAAATAGGAAATAAGTTGAAAGTCATTAGAATAGTAAATTATTAATCCCTTATAGTATTTCGTATTGTTAATTATATAGTATCAATGTAAAAATTCAATAAAGTGAATAGAATTATGTTCAAGATTTTTTTCGGTCCTAGACAGTTGGAGGCAATTTTCAAGAAGCCCTTGTTTACTCAATTTATCACTCATTATCCTTTAGAGGATTGATGCTTCCTATGAGATTTGAACCAGTGTCAACAATCCGTAAATATTGTCAGAGCTTCGTGTCGATCTTCTCTAATTAACGTCTTGGTATAGTTCATAAGATGTTAAGTCATTTAAACTAACGACTGATACATTGTAATTAGATCAATTGAAGTCAATCAACCTTAAAGACTAGACAAACATGAGGTCACTTATTGTTCAGTAATTGGTCCATGTCATCATACAGTTAAACAGAACAACAATATCGATTTACCAAGTAATTATTATGGATAATCATTTTCTTGACAAGGTACAATCTATTCACTTATTTGACTTAAAACGAATTATTATTACAACTTAGTCAATAAAATCTAGTCAGTTTATACATCAGTCAAACTAATTTGTAAATTAGAACTAGAAACTGAAACAATATAACATGTTAGCTCAGTTGAGTAAAGACAGAGTAAAAGTATATCTGATACCGTTGAATTTCTCAAGGAGGTTGGTTCATTTGTGAAATTTACATTGTTTTTCTGGACAATACCATCAAAATAAAAATTTTCTTTGTAAATTAAGTGAGCTAATTAAAGTTTCTTCTCAGCTGGCAATTAGCTTGCCATTCCAGTGCATGGAATATCCCTGTAAATACATATTTTAATAGCATTAATATCTCAACTAACAGTTGATGACACATTTTTTTCATTGTTCGATAAAGTTTACCTTAAGATATCTAATAGTTGTCAAATGACCTAAGTATCAAACTTCTAATTCACTATGTTGATTGCGGTATATTTACTAGTTAAGAACCAACCTACTTTAAAATCTATCAGAAGTCAACATGTCTAACTGCTTCTTATTTAAACATGAATCCAGAGATTTTAGGTTTTATGCCAAAAATATTTCCTTATTGTTTACACTGCGAATTGATAATAACTAAATAACCACTGAAAACTGGGTATCACTAAACAACAATTTCGGCTAATATATGGATCTTCATCAGTGGGCTTCCTCAACCTTGATTAGAATTGAAGCTATGAACCTCACCACTGGGGTGGCGTTGATCATTTTACCTGTTTTGCACCAACCAACTGTCGATATCGTGTAACCATCCTTCAGTGCCATTGATCGAAGAATGCCTCACAACTGACATAGTTGAACCGCATAGACCATGGTAACTCACTAGAACTCTATGAATTACCGCTCAAAATTAGTCAGTAATGGAAATTTCTGAGTTGATATTCAATGTTTAAAAACTGAAAAAAGTTTGAGTTACATTGTAATTTATATTTTTTTAGTACAATAATATCGATCAGTTGATTATTATCAATCAAAACCTTAGTAGTAATTATCTTTTTAGTATAATACTTGAAGAATTGCCTTTTTATACATATTTTGTATGAAAATAGTAGATTTAATGTCCATGATATATATATTACACAGCCAATAGGCTGATGGCTTTGTTTATTAAAAGTTGTGAGTTCAGATATTGATTTGCCCAATGGTGAATTTATCAGTTTGGTTACCATATTCATTTCAATAATTTTTATTCAATCAACTGAGCAATCATCACACAGAAGATTGAAGTGATTAAATTGAAAAAAAACCTATGAAATAGTTGATATCATCTTTAGTTTGGAATTAAATTTTCCCGTTGTTGATACTCAAAATCAAATTTTAATCATTCTTGTGTGACATCCTGTGTGTATTATTGGAATATCACAAGTTATTTGAGAAAGATAGAATGTAGATAGTATTGGAATCTAGGACACGAGTTTTGTACCGTTAGAGACTCATCAGTCGGATGTATCTGTCATATCCAAGTGTTGATGTTTACACTGCAACTCAAACCTAATAACTGTTACTCCAAACACTGACGAAATCCACACTGAGCTACTAAGTTCAGATAGTAACTACCTTGTCCAATGAATATGATTTCTATATTTTTATCAGTGTGATCTTGAGTCATGGAAAATAGGCCGTTGTTATTATCCTAACAACGACTAATACGCATAGACAACCTAAGGCAACAAGGACGAGAGAAATCGATACTTTGTATATGACGGCTGGCCCCGAACGAAGAGGAAGAACAAAAGACCAATGATCACCAGTTCAAAATCGTTCTTATATTTTAAACAGATTTAGTTTTTATACAAAGAGACCAGAGTGCATCGAACCATAAAGTAAAAAGAATAACAAGTAAACGAATTGGTTTCTTGTAAGGTGGTATATAATTATATTCGTACTATTTCCTACTTAAGTAGTACTAATTAGTACACTAAAAATGACAAACATGGATTTTCGATTCTTTCCAATATTCCTATCTATCTGACTTAGTAGAGAATAAATTTTAATAAGAAATTGACGTCATTCACAAAACATTTATAACTGGAGAATAGTGGAAAGTTGTTTAGTCCTAGATTGAAACTCTTCAATAGTACACAATCATAGCTATATTTATCTTAAAACTAGGTTCATTGAATAGATTTCCTACGTTTCTAACCATTTCAATACTACTTACTTCATACTTAAATTCTAAGAAATACACGTGATATTAAATGAACGAATAAACATATAATTTTCTAAACATTTTGTTTTAATTGGTTATTGTATACTGTTTCAGTTAAAATATTTAAAACTAATTATTAAGTAGTATAATTATTAAAAGTGTCATGGAAATTAAATATATAGAGTTAAAATAAAAGAATAATATAGTATAATATTTAGTTAAATCAATCATTTATAGGGTGTATACAAGGCATATCTTTATTATTCTTGAAAGAGTTCATTAATTCACTGTTTATTTATAATTGAATAATTAACAATGAGGAACAGTATAGTTTATATATATATATTGAGTAAATGTTTAATGTACTTTTTTTCTGTCAGTGTGTCTGTGTATAATTCACCTTTTTTTATATGTGGATCATTTGAATATGATTTAACACACGTATACGCGCACACACACACACCTATATATAGGCTCACAAACACATATTTGCATGTGCTCACACACACATATTAGAAAAGTGTATAACGTACATACGACAAATTTTTAGTACAGTACAATAATCTTTGTAAATCTTGTCTAAACTTTTGAAAATAATTATCTTTTTTTTTTAATAAAAAAAACATAACCATAAATGATTAATTCTGAAATCATCAAAGCAAATGATGACATAACAATAGTGAAACATAAAAAACATGGAAAATTGAATCGTTTCTTTTCACATTTTAAACACAAATCACATCATGATCATCAATTAAAGATGAAAATTGTAACACCCCCACCTACATTACCAATGTGTTCTATGAATCCTGAATCATTAGAGACTATATCTTCTATAAATCCTCATTCACATGGTTGTTCAACAATTTCAAATTGGTTTACTGGTAAAGGTAAAGAGAATGTTCATGATAAACGATCAAGTGTAAAACGGAGAAAATATGAAGAAATTCAAGGAACTGTAGTAGTGAGTTTATTGAATTCTCTATTTTTTGTTCATTGTTCATTATTTTTGTAAAAAAAAATGGAGTAAAAAAGATGAAGAGAAAGAAACCAATTCACTTGAGTATTATTTATTATCAGTATAGGATTTTATAAACGTTATAGAATTTTTATAGTCTTTTGATTTAAGTTAGACAACTATTGAGAATAAGTAAACATTGAGCAGATGTTTCATTCTAGTATGGAACTCCGTAACAGTGTTCACCCACAATTGCTCAACTGGGAATTGGACCCAAGGCCTCTAATGTCGTGTACGAACTCTTAACCTCTAAACCACTTATCCGGTACCCAACTGTGTTATTGTTTAACTTTAATTAATTTAAGATATATTGTGCAACCATTAAACGTTGCCTATGTTGGCTGACTGTTTCATACTCGATATGATTGAACTTTAGTAGTCACGGTTATTTACTAAAACTCCAGGAATTGTTTCTTGAAGTCAGTCATTAGTGAGTACTTGATTATTCCAAGTATAGGGTTTTGCGGAAATTATGGAATTAGTTATTTGTCAAAAAGCTGTCATCATTGATTATTTACAAAAACTATTTTTCTCTAACTTCAAAAAGTTTGTTATCATGTTCCTAGTAGTCAACATACTGTAATGGCTTAAGGATTAAAGTAATTAACTTTTAATGAGATCATGTTCTCTACATTCGCTACTCATTTACCATCATCACTACTACTAATAATAATGCTAATACTAATACTGATACTATTATTTTCGTCATGATCAATTCATGTCACTGTGGTTATGTGGTGTGGCAACTTGCGGTAATGCATACCGGTGCTAGTTTCTTACGTTATATATGACTGATTGAGGTTTGAACATCACTACGTACACTTCAACAGCTTTCGACCTCCCAAGGTGATATTATTAACCTCCCTACCTGGTATATAGCTCTAAGTCTTGGTTAATAAAAGTATGCTTGTCAAATATCGATATTAGTAAGTGTTTAAGTTATCTCAGAAAGTAAAAAATTCTTACTAGTTAGATAAGAACTTTCGTCTAAATTTGAACGAATAGTTTCACAATATTTGGATGCCGAGTTAATGTGAGACATCGATTATTCGATAATTTTGTTGTTTGATTATATTTTCCTTGAAAATATTTGAACCAGATTGCCAGGCGATACGTTGGATTTACTTCAAATTCTTTCGCTGAGATTTTACAAATACATTCTTCCTCTTTAATTTCTTACTAGTTAGGTTAATTAATACTTAGTACTTTTCGAAGCCTATAAATGAATTTCGTAACTTTGTCACAATTTTTTATTTAACGTTCTATGACTGGAACAGAATATTACGAAAGCTTCCTTGGGAGGTGTGAAATTTAATTCATATAAACAAATGTAAACATCATACTTGTTAAACAAGTTGATAACCAACTTGGTTTAGTAAATCAGTGGATAACGGGTTCACGTTATAAGAGAAAGGTACTGATACGACATTATTAGAATATTGGTGTATCCAACTGACGAGTCCTCAATTGAATAGAGCACGTATCTGGGATTCTACCCCTAGTTATAATCCATCTATTCTAAGTATATTTAACAAAATATATTATAACTCATTTAGTATTCTATATATTTACCAGGGTACCTAAGTATATTGTAAAAACTTTCGAAAATTATCGAAAAGACAAACAATTATAAAGTTAGTTTATCACATCACTTGTTGTCAACTAGAATTTTTGTACTAAATTATCAAAACGCTAATTTTTCAAATGAAATAGTAATATACTGACTGTTATCAAGACGACTAAATAATTTAGCACAAATATAAAAAAAATCAATAAGCAAAACAAAAACAGACAACGATGTAATACTTACATAGCAATCTGAATAAATTGAACCAAAACATTTTTTTGAATGAATTTATCCAGTTGATTTTGATTCATAGTGAAACACTAGATTCAAATTGAACAACGTTTATAGGCTCCCATTTTAATAACAATCATTTGCCCACTACTCACTAGTTTCAGAAAACATATTCTCAAAGTTCTTTTGAGAAACTACAACAGATAAATATCCTGGATACTGTATGTGGCTCTAGTTCTACACAGTTAAAAAGTCTGAAACATGAAAGAAATAGCTGTCTGATGTTTTCTAGCCTTCATTAGTTCTCCAATTGATACTTAACTGTTATACTTCGTATAGGGAATAGTTCCAATTGATAGTAGTTTTTATTTTCCTGTTATTGGCTTCAAAAACTTCAACTGATCAGGTGGTTTTAGTATACATTCATTCTGAGTGGATTGTTTAGATATATATTTAATGAAATTCAAAAAAATACTTGCATGGTGTTAGGATATTCATAAAAATATCCCAAAAATTATCCTGTTGAGTCTAATGCTATCCTAGGACGTGAAATGGTGTTATTTTCCTATTGGTCAATATTTATTTCACGTGTCGTTTCCCTACTGATCAATATTCACGGTCGTCCTAACTGTGTAAATATGCATTTGTCTGTAATGTATTATTCTTCTCCTGATCCCATAAACAATTTTCATTTAACGGTTCGTGTTCTGATATATTGGAGATTAAGGAGCAGTATTGGGGTCGTACTGGAATATCTGAAGTTGGTCAATCGGTAGAATTTAGAGTAGCCACCCCGCGGTTTACAATATATAGTAGCTAGTAATGACACATCAATACACGGATGTACTAAAATCCAATTGATAAGTCCCATGTAGGACGAAATGCTTGTCATGTTTTTTACAACTAGTTTTCATCAAAATTTAGTTTTGTTCAAAAAGAAGATAAACATTTTACATATTTAACTGAAGCAGATTAGTTCATCAAATTACATTATGATAGACAAGACTATAATTGATTGAAGTACAAATGACATACAAAATTATATTTCTTTTCAAACGCTTATGACATTTAATTGTATTTTAACAAGGAGTAGAAATGAACAAATTAGTTATATATTTATCATTAATTTATTGATTAATTTATATCATCAAGTACTTTTCAATAATTAATTTCATTTAAATTGAATTATTGATTATCGATATAAATAAATCGTTAAAAAAATCAATATATTTGAAATATTGTTTTGATTTAATATAAATATTAAATAAATCTTTATCTACAATCTTATTTACAGCTCTTACTTGTATTGTTTAATTTATCACATTTCAGTAACAAAATTAGCAGGGCTTTTTTTTCTTGATCAGATCAAAAGATATATTTTCGTATGATAGTGAGATGGTGGAGAAGATTTGTAACTTAGATGGATGATTCTGATGAAGTTTTGTTCTCTGAGCTGGATGGTTTGATCGTGGAGTTTTTATCGTTCTTCAGATAGAAGTCCGAAGTTTGTGCTGATGATGTCGTTCAGAAGAACAATGAAAGCTTCACGACCAAACCATCCAGCTCAGAGAACAAAACTCGATTAAAATTAGTATGATGGTGAACCATAAAAATCTATAAAATAAAACCCAGATAATAAGAATTACACAATTGTACCATTATAAAATTGATATATTTATTCTAATAGTATTGACCTTCACTAGAATGTAACAAAATTTCATGTTGTAACTAAGTTTTCGGTTGATTATTTAATAATGTATATTGACATGTCTTTCATGATTTCGAGTAAACCGGTTTATTTTAATTTCTCTCAAACAGAAAACACTTTTCAGTGTAGGATTATGGAGATTGTTGAATTTTATTGTTTTTATAAATCGATCTAAGTTACACAATTTAAAAAATTCACGGTTTGATTCTCGACTGGTGTTGTAGTGGATGGATAATCATTGTTAAAGAGTCCCATACTAGAACGAAACCACTGTCCAATGGTTTCACGTCTAAACGGTAGTTTGGGCACCCGGGGAGTATCACAGCCCTCACACAAATCTCATTTGATTTGTGTGGTGCATATGTATTTGGTGCCTCCTTGTACCAATATCTATGTGTTCAAATAATAATGATAATTATTATATATATACGCATGTTTATATATTGACTGCAAGATTTCAATACCATCTGATTAAAACATTACATTGATTGACATGTAGATGGTGAAGTTAGCAAAAAAGGAAGTATATATATATGTATGAGAAATATTTTTCGTACTCAATTAAATTGTTGTTTGGCACTACTAACCTGTTACTCATTGTATTTAATATCATTCTCTACTATAAAACATTAAAACTGCTCTCCTATAGAGTTGAGATTAAAATCAACTCATTAGCTATTTGACTGGAAGCATTGATAAAATACATGGTCTTAATTTGTTTGAAATAGTAATAGTAATACGTTTCTAAACAGTAGCATTTATATCATATCAATGTTCTGATTGTTTTTTTTTCTGTTTCATCAAAAGGTAATCACTGAAATAGGTACCGAATCGCTTGCATTTTAGAAGGAATTGAAAGTTTCTTTTTTTTCATCATTTACCATGGTTACAGATAAGGCTCGTGACGATTATAGATACCATTTGAATGGAATAATTGACAATCTTTATGGTTATACTATTAAAAAAATATATATGGAAAGGTGAATAACATCCGTGAAATATTCTATAATTTTTCTAAAAAATTATCGATTAGTGTATGAATGTTTTTAAATATATTTAGGTTTCCCTCGCAGTTTAAATCAATAAATGATCTCAGCAAGACCACCATTGAAAATTCGGAGGCATTAGATATTTGTTTGGTCCTATTATGGGATTCCTCAGTGGTACACATCCTCAATTAACTTCTTAATAAAAATAAACCTATCTGTTACGATCAACAAATTACAAACTGACAGAGTGTCTTTTAAAATAAACATACTGATTAACAATAACAGAATAATTCAAACCCATCTTAGTAGCAATGTAAACAAAACACACATTGCATAATTTAGTGACTGTGTGAACTTCGTAAATCAATAGATAACGCGTTATGCACTTGAGGCAAAAAGTGCTGGGTTCCAGTTCCAGTGTTAAAATTAACACTAGGGTATATTAGGCACA